CGTACGTGTGTGTGGGGGAGGGGAGGTGTCGGTCAAATCGTTATGAAGAGGTTAGCAAACATGACAACTAAGGGAAAGTCAAGCAACAGTGGTTACATGGGTGCCAAAAAGGAACTGATTCTCAAAATGTTAGCGAACAGTGTTCACAAGAAAAAGTAAGGCTATTTCTTCGTGCTAATAGAGTCTTGACTGGTGACATAAATGAAAGAAAGTCCTCAACATGTACAGAATATTAAATATCCATCAAAGCTATAAATTATGCCAAATAACACCTGGTGCCGATGGCGTCAAAAATGGGTAACACATATTCCTCATTCAATTCTTCTTTCATACAACTCCAAATAAATATGCAACTGTAGCTTATTCACTTGCGACTGTCTATGGTTTAAACAGAAATAGCTGTGGTTTCACATTAAGGTGCACTTTCTGTCCATTGAGTCATCGGTTAAATTGAGTAATAATTCTGCAATAAACAGCACTTGGACCCTTCTAGGAAATAGGAGCAGCATAAGTTCCCATAATTATCACTTTTATTTTTATACAAATTATACTTTTGTAATGTTTGCTGAAGACGGAGTGGTGGAGAAGACTATCAACACTGTTTTATACCATGTTTTTAATGAGATGTTGACATTAATCAAATTAGCTGAAAAGGATTTAAAAAATAAGAAAGTAAATAAAAGATTTAAGCTTGAAAAAGAAAGAGGAGAGATTGTATAGAAACCCCCCCCACAAACACACACACACACACAAGGGGAACTATTGTGGTGCAGATAACATATATAATTCTGGTACTGTACCTTTGTGTGTCCTTTATAGCAGGAAATCATGAGGCAGGTATTGTCGTATTTGTTGGGTATGGTCATGTCCGCCCCGTGCTCTAGCAGGTACTTGACAATGTCCAGTCGGCCGTCGAAGCATGCGGCACGGAGAGGTGTAGAGTTGGTGGCGGTCGAGTTGTTCACGTTGGCTCCGTTCTTGATCAGCAGCTCCACAATGTCCAGATGGCCAGCCCCAGACGCGCACCACAGAGCTGTTGCCTCCTGGATGACGTAACCGTCGAAGCGGACGGTGGATCTCTGCTCAATGTCTACATCAAAGTTGCTGAGTAAGACCTATGGAGAAAACAAATACCGTTATGGCGAGTTTGGCGCCAACAGTTTCTTTCGTGCTTTCATCCTCGCCCATACCTCATGGGCTCCTACGGAATTTCTATACCGAGAAAATAATTAAGAACTGTACCCAGTATCATGTCAATATTGCCTTGTAGGACTAAGAAAGGAAAACAGAATAAAATAATTATTGGCCAGGAACCTTTAACATTAACATTTTCATTTTCCATCCAAAACATATATACAGCAATATGCCCCCCCCACC